ATGATCACTTAGTAAGGTATATAAATGTCTAGTCATTATGTTTTACACCAAAAACTAATATAATATTGTATGTCAACTATAAGAAAAAAAAGAACAAGAAAAACCAACTAGTAGTTTTTCTTAAATTTAATTGTATTAAATTTAAGAATTTTTTCTCTCTGGCTGGTGTGGATCAGTGGACTGAGTACTGGCCTGCAAACCAAAACGTCACCGGTTTGATTCCTGGTCAGGGCACATGCCTGGTTTGTGGTCCAGGTCCCCAGTTAGGGGTGTGCAAGAGGCAACCGATTGATGTATCTCTAAAACATCAAAGTTTCTCTCCCTCTCTTTCTCCCTCTTCTCCCCTCTAAAAGTAAATAAATCTTTTTTAAAAAGAATTTTTTTCTAATAAAAACAAATGGATTTTTGTTCTGACAAAAACTAGGCAGTTAAAAAATATGATAGTAAAGACCAAATTTATAATATCAACAAAGGTAAAATACCTAGGAATAAATTTGATTTATGTGAATAAAACTTGAAATAATTGAGGACTATAAAGAAGACTTGAATACCCCAACTGTTCTTGTATAATAAATCTCATTTATATAGGGTAGCTGCTTTTCCAAAATTAATCCATAAGTACAGTGAGATCATATAAAATTTCCAAGATAGTTCAGTGACTCTGAAGAAAGAATGAGGTGGGATTTATGAGAGGACTCATCAAGAAATGATACGACAGGTTGGCCAATCGGGGAAAAATGAAGTTGGCTTCCTACCTCATTTCATATCTTTAGTGATTGTCCTGCCTATGACCCATAACCCTCGTGTTATGGGTCAGCAGGGGTAAATCCAGAGACCTCCAGGAATCTTTCTCATGCTGGACCCAGCCAGACTCTGTCACAAGCTCTGTGAGGAATAATAGCCTGGCGATACCTGCTGAGATGTGGGGTCTCCTTCAGAGCCAGCACAACATCAGGTTCAAATGGAGCCACTGTGTTTGCATATCAGCTGCTTACAGAGGACTCCTGGGATCCCTAATGGTCGTCTCCTCAGTAGTCATAGGACCAGCATCTGTCCCAATTCTGTCTTCTTTGTCAGTCCAGCTGACCCTGTACATGAAGTTTGGGGTATTAACAAGGTTTAACGTGTCCAGGGTATGCCCACTAGTTCTCTTTGTGCCTGATTTTTTTGCCCAGCATGGACCTCACGTCTTCTCCCACAGACCAAGACTCCAGGTTGTTCCAAAGTATTAAAAGTGAAGAAAAACCTCAAATTTCCTTCTATGAAGCAACTATTCATATGTAATAAAAATGAAAGGCATAATTATTGGAAGGAGAAACAAATTCATAGACAATGTGGTTGTTTGCTTGCAAGAAATCAAAGAATCTACAAAAATTCTGAGAATTTAGAAGTGAATTTAGCCAGTGAATATATCACTAAAATTGCACAAAATCATTCATAATCTAAATAACAGCAATAAACAAATGGAAATAGATTTTAAAAAACAATTATAGCACAAAACCTCACATACCTTAGAATAAATCTAATGCACATTGTGTAGAAGTCTTACACTATAAGACCTCTACATTGAAAACTAAAATTATTGAAACAAATATAAAGATGACTGGCGTAAATACCATGTTCATGAAACCAAAGAATCAATATTGTAAGATATCAATTCTTTTTATATATATATTCTTTTTTTTCTTTTTTTAAAGACTTTATTTATTTTTAGAGAGGGAAGGAAGGGAGGGAGAAAGAGAGAGAGAGAGAGAGAGAAACATCAATGTGCTGTTGCTAGGGGCCGTGGCCTATAACCCAGGCATGTACCCTGACTGGGAATCGAACCTGCGATGCTTTGATTCACAGATATCAATTCTTGACAAATGAATCTTGAGGTTCAAATCATTTGAATATCAATAGAGATTTGGTAGAAATGGACAAGCTGATTCAAAAAATTATATGGAGGGGTGGGGGGTAAATGCAGACAACTGTACTTGAACAACAATAAAATAATTTTTTAAAAAATTATGTGGAAAAGAAAAGGTCCACCAACATTAGTCAAAGAAATGTTGAGAAAAAGGAATGAAGCTGGAGAACTTACAGTAACAGATAACAGGACCTATCTCAAATCTATTAACATTAAGATACTGTAATATTGCCCTTGCTGGTGTGGCTCAGTGGATTGAGCGCTGGCCTTCAATCCAAAGGGTCACTGGTTTGACTCCCAGTCAGGGCACATGCCTGAGTTGTGGGCCAGGTCCCCAGTGAGGGGCAAGCGAGAGGCAACCACACATTGAAAAAAAGAAAAAAAAAGACTATAATATTATCCCAAGATAGACAAATTGACGAGTGAGACAGAATGGAGAATTCATATACATGATCACCTGAATTTGAGTCAATAAAAGAAACAATTGGGTATTCTTGTGGAAAACTATTCCGAGTCCTACCTCACTCCATTTACAAAACTAAATGGCAGAAAGATTAAAATTAAGAACTTCTGCTCATCGAGAGATGCTACTAAAAGATGATAAAATGAGCTACATAGTGATAGCTTATATTTGAAAATACGTATCAGACAAGACTCATAGCCAGAGTACATAGACATATAAATTGTGTATTATACATAAAATATATATCACTCAACAATATAGCATAATATATATAGAATAATAGCATTATTAATAATAATATTAATAATAGCTTTAATGCAGCAGAATAAAATATCTAGATCAGCAATTTTCTTTTCTTCTTTAAAAAGATTTTATTTATTTACTTTTTTAGAGAGAGGAGGGGAGGGAGAAAGAGCAGGAGAGAAACACCAATATGTGGTTGCCTCTCTCCAGCCCCCTACTAGGCGCCTGGCCTGCAACCCAGGCATGTGCCCTGACTGGGAATCAGCCAGGGACCCTTTGACTCACAGACCAGCACTCAACCACTGAGCTATGCCAGCCAGGGCCAGATCAGCAATTTCCAACCAGTGTACCACAAGAATTTTTAATACAGGCAATACTTGACTGTTTATTCAGGGGCTCTGATCTTTTTCCTGTAGGTCAGGAGTGTCAGACTCATTTTCACTGAGAGCCACATCACCCTTACAGTTGCCTTTAAATGGCTGAAATAATTTTAGGACTGTATAAATGTAACTACTCCTTAACTGTTAAGGAGTTGAAATTACATTTGACCATTTGTAGGCAACCACTAGGCTGATGTGGCCCCCAGTGAAAATGAGTTTGACATCCCTGGCTTAGACTGTCAACTTTAAAAAATGGCAACAGCCAACACAGTAGCTGTCCTGTGTGAATGAATCAAAATTACACCTATTTTTGGGTCAGATCATCAAAAAATATATATTTTTTGGTGTGCTGCAGAAGTTTAGTAATTAGTGTATGTGTGCCATGAGATGAAAAGTGAAAATCGCTGTTCTTGATAATCATCATAGTTGTGTACTTGGATGACTATGCTTCTAACTCAGCAGATTAATTTTAAGGAGCCAGAACCATCCCTGAAGTGTCTTTAAAGGCCACGAAGGTCACAGTTTGGGGGAGGCAAAGATCTGTCAGCGTTTGTGTTCTGATGGCTTGGACACTTCACACACACAGAAGAAAACAAAGTCAGACACCCAGAGTGTCACATTAGGGGATTCATGCTTGTTTCCATGACATAATTCTTACCACATTTGTCATCCTTGAAAATACTGTTCACTCTGACATGATATTCAGAAACAAATCTGCAAAGATGTTACAGAGACTATATCAAGGCGAACACTGCACGTGTCTGTAGCAGAAGGAATGCTTTCACCCACGATTTTCAGAAAAACTTGCTCCATATTTGAGGCGGCCTTTGCTGTTGTTTGGTCAGTGGAGAGGTTTAACAAGATCACTGAGGGCCGCTTTCATTTTATGTTCCCGCTTTGTTGTCTACACAAAATGCTTCATTTTATGGCCTAGACCCTCTGTATTGTATTATGCAATAATGTGATAGCATGCTTGGTCTGTCAAATTGGAAGAAATTAAAGACAATGATTGTTTCTGATTTTGATGATACACCAAGATTGGAAATATAACTTCATTGGTGGACTAGGTGGTAAAGTATCTAAAACTACAGAATCTGAAGCTACCACTTAAAATGATTTCCTTATTAATGATATGGAAACGAGAGAAAAAACAAACTGTTCCAAATATTGGGATGACAGTTGTGTGGGAAAAAAATTTTTCGAATACATATTTACTCACATAGGAGATTAGGAACTACATTGGCCAAGGTACTATTGATGTTTTTTTCTGGGTGCTAGAATTATAGAAGACTTCATTTCACTCTTCTCAAATTTTTTTCCTTTCCTTAACATTCTTTTTTCTTTTCTTTTTTCCTTATTTTTAACATTGACTATGCACTACTTTTGGAAGTAAAAAAAAAATAGTGTAACAGTAACTTGTACCAAAACATCAACAGTGTTTTATATATCTCCTGGTGATGGGATTATGTATTTGGCTGAGAATAGTCAGATTTTATACAACATGAACACGTTAATACTGAGTAATCACATTTTTTTAACGAAAGAAAAGAAAGGTGTAGCAATGTCCCAAAGTTGAGTGCCGAAAATTCACGTGTCTCCCGACTTCCCAGGGTACACTCCCTAAACGCGTAACCCCGCACTAGGTCCTGAGAGCAGAGCTCCACTTGCACGCTTCTTTAAATCACCCTCGGCACCTAAATCCGTCCAGCACCGAAGAGGGTTCTGGGGGTTGTAGTCCGCACTCTCTCAAGGCGCCCACTTCCGCTTCTGGGGGCGCACCACTGCCATCATTTCCTGTGCGCTTGTGAGCCGGGTAAAGGACGTGAGTCTTCTGGGAGGTCTTCGTTCGGGCTGCGGGAACAGGCGTTGGATGTTTAGGACGTGGGAAGAAAAGGGCTGCGTGTGGTGAAGGCTCTGAGCTCGGCCTGGCGAAGGAAGGGTTTGAGGAGGCGGGTCACAGAGCGTCCTGGGTTGGGGCGAGGGGTGGGGCTGGGGCCGGCACCACGTGGCACCCCTCAGGCTTAAAAGGGACAGCTCCAGACTGGCTGCTCCGGCTTTAAAACGGGAATCTTTCGCTTTGGGAGACTCCTGTTCAGGCAGGCGCGGATCGATAATATCTTGAATTTTCTCATGGTAGTCGCCCTCTGGACTGGGGTTTCTTTTTAAACCTTGCTTATGTATATGCCCTGTTTTTCCTCTTAAAGATCTCTGGGATCTTTGGTTATTTTTTCTTGTTTTATAGCAGTGCCAGCTCTGTCTCCAAACCAGGCCTGCTTTCCTGACCTCATTCTTTATCCCGTGGTTTTGACAAACTCCCGTTCACGCCACTTTGCCATAATAGCTGCCTTCTCCCAGAAATGAGTTTCTTCTAAGGTTGAGGAATTTCCCAGTGTCATCGACTGTACTCTCTCCCTGGCTCCTACTAGGGGTTCATTTGGTCAGTATATCACTCAGCTTACTGTGTTTCAGGGCAGTGCTAGGTACAGGGGAGACATGATTACTGTTTACAGTATGTGTATAAAATGCATATTACATGCCAGTTATTATGCCGAGGGCGTTCACTGCTGTATCTTTAGTACCTGGAACAGTGCCTGGCATATAGTAGTCTCTTAGAAAACATCTGAATGAGTAAATACATTTAATTTGCTCAGCAACATTGTAAGTTAGGTATTATTAGTCCCATGTTACAGATAAGAAGCCTGAGACTTAGAACGGTTAAGAAGTTAACAAATGTCACTTGGCCAGGAGATGTTATAACCAGAAGTCAGGGCCTTTGCCCTTGCTGTTTCCTCTGCGCTCATCCCAGATCTTCGCACAGCTGATTTATCTTCATGCAGGTCTTAGAGACCATAGGTGACAACCTGCTTTAAGGTTGCCCTGCCGGCACTTGCCACCTCTGTTCTGTCCAAGAGAACTTAACGTTCTGGCTGGTGAACAAGAAGTTATCACGTTTTATTTTCTTCATTGCCCGTTTTGTAAGCACAGATCAGTGTGTTTGTAGATTTGTGTACCCACCAGAATACAAGCACCATAAAACACGTACCACGTCCAGTTATTTACTGCTGTGTCCCCAGTGTTTGTTACCGTAGCCAAGACATAGTTAGAGACTGAAGGTATTCGTTAAATGGACGGATGCCTGTGTCCCTAGGTTATTGCTCAGATGAATGAATAACAATAGTTTGTTGAAGATTATCTATGGGCCAAGTACTGGGCTATGTCACTTTCTTCACGCGGGCACGTGTGTGTATGTGTGAGAAAGAAAAACTTAATTCTTTCAACTCTGCAAGTAAGAAGTATTATCTTCACTCAACAGAAGGAAGAACAGACTCAGAGAGTTGTCACTTGACTAGTGTCAGTACGACTACACAGTGGCTGAGCCAGAATTAAACCCGCCATTCAACAGCACCAGCATTGGGAGGTAAATTGCAGCTTCCAACACCCTGCTCTACCTCTTGCTATCTGGAGTAGAACTTCATAATTTATGCATTTTCCTTAAAGTTCAAGTCCAGATACATTGTTATTTGATTTCTCCTCCTTTTTATCCCTGAGTGTAATTACTCATCTAGTCCTGTTACTTTTACTCTTATTTCTATTACCTCTATCCTTTTGTTGCCAGGTATTTCTGCATCCTATGTTTCCCCAGAGTGAGCTCCCCATGGTCAAGGGCTGTATGTCTTTCTTTCAAGATTTTATTTATTTTTAGAGAGAGGAGGAGAAGGGAAAGAGACAGAGAGAAACATCAATGTGTGGTTGCCTCTTACGAGCCCCGCCCCCTCCATTTTGGACCTGGCCTGCAACCCAGGCATGTGCCCTGACTGGGAATCGAACCAGTGACCCTTTGGTTCACAGGCTGGCACTCAATCCTCTGAGCTATACCAGCCAGGCTATATCTATCTTTATAGTCTGAAGTACCTGACACATAGTTGAATTTCAGTAAATGTCTGCTGTCTTCCCAACTAGAATGTCAACTGCTTGAACGCAGAGTCCTTGTCTGCCCTGGTCACCATCATGGCTCGTGGTCCTTAGCATGTACTTTACTGAGTGGATGATGTGAGGCAAAAAACCCATTCTGCCCTGTCACTGGGATCAAAAGGCCTAGGATCCAGGTATCAGCAGGATGAGTTAGGTTAGTCTCGTTCTCCCGTTGATGTATTTAGTGAGCACCTGCGTTGTTTCAGGAGCAGACTAAAATCCCAGCCCTCGTGAAGCTCCCGTTCTAGTGGGTGGAGAAAGTCAGTTGAGAAGAACAATGGATGGCTGATCAGATGGTCAGTTTCATGGAGGAAGATGAAGCAGGGGAGGGGCTTTGGGAGAGCCGGCAGAGGGAGCTGAACTTGTAAGTAGGGCACTCGGGCGCGACTTCACTGGGAAGATGGTGCTTGTGGAGGGACATCAGAGAAGGCCCGAGGCGGGGGCATGACTGATCTGTTTGCAGAGCAGTAAGGAGGCCAGAGGGGTTGAGCAGAATGAGAAAGAGGATGGATGCGTGAGAAATTGGGTATTTGGAGGCCAGATAGTGAAAGGTTTTTTTGCCCATTGGAAGATTTTGGTGAAGGTTTTGGCCAGAGGAGTGACATGATAGATATTTTATATATATATATATATATGTGTATGTATATATAATGTGTATATATGTATGTATATGTGTATATATATTTTTAAACATGGGATGCTTCACGAATTTGCGTGTCATCCTTGTGCAGGGGGCATGCTAATCTCTGTATTGTTCCAATTTTAGTATATGTGCTGCCAAAGCAAGCACCTTTTATTTTATATTTTACAAAGATCGCTGTGGCTGCTGGGTAGGGTTATAGACTCGAAGGGGACAGTCATAGAAGCAGGGAGACCAGTAAGGAGACTATTGCAGTAATTCTGGGGAGAGGTGAGGGTGGTGTGTTCAGTAGCAGGAAGAAGAATTAGTCTGATTCTAGCTATAATTTGAAGGTATTGGCTGATGTATGAGAGAGAAGTCAGGCATCACCCCAAAATCTTTGTCCTCATTGGAAAAGAAGGGAGCGCATCAGGAGTCAGTCTTGGGGCATGTTGAGTTTGAGGTGCCTTTTAGACATCCAAATAGGGATGTCCAGCTGGTGCCGAGGGAAGCCGTGAGGTTAGCTGTGTTGTCCAAGGGAGTGAATGAGTTTAGAGAGAACTTCATGGACTACATCTCGAGGTCGTCCTAACCTTCAGAGGTCAGGGATGTGAGGAGGAGCCATCCGGAACTTTAACACAAACCAGAAGCCCCCGGACACCTTGAAAATTAGCCATTCTGAGGAAGTGAGAGTGTCTTAGCACACACTACTTACAGTGTGGTCCCAGAGCAGCCGTATCAGCATCCCCTAAAAACTTAGAAATACAGATTCTTGAGCTTCACTACTGAGCTAGCGAGTCAGACTCTTTGGAAGTGGGGTCCAGCAGTCAGTTTTAGCAACCTCTCATGATTTTTAAGCACTCTAAAGTTCCCAAGGCACAGCCCTGGAGAGTCAGGACGTTTTTAAGATTTTATTTTTATTTTATTTTTAGAGAGGGGAAGAGAAAGAGGGAGAGAAACATCATTGTGTGGTTGCCTCTCACGCACTCCCTACTGGGGACCCAGACTGCAACCAGGCAAGTGCCCTGACTGGGAATCGAACCAGCAACCCTTTGGTTCACAGACTGGCACTCAATCCACTGAGCCACACCAACCAGGACTGAAGAGCCGATCTTAAATGACACTGGTGTGGGGGGCTTGTTACTTATTTGGCCTCCACTCTGCCCTTCCTCTTTGTCCTCCAGGTGGGAAGTCAGCATGTGGCTGATCCTCCACACCTGCTTCAGAGAGTGATCCTAGTGCAGGGCAGTGCCCACACAGTGCCACCCAGGTCTCGTCACAGTGGGCTGTGCAGGGGTCTGGGACAGATGCTTAGAGGAAAAGTGGAGACTTGGGCTCCTGAAGCAGCAGAACCCAGGGGGTGTCTCAGAGTGGACGTCAGAAGCGTGTGCATCTGTTTGTCTGAACTTGCCCTGTGGCTTGGACTCAGGAGAAAATGGGCAGGGCCTGAGGAGCTCATGGTCCGTGTTGTGGCACTACCTGCTGACCAGCTCCACACTGGCGCCAAGAGTTCTGTCATCTCTGTGCATCACATCCTGCTGACAGAATTAGTCATGTGGGCCCAGTGTGCAGGAGCAGTGCAAGATGGAGAAGATAAAGAAAGAAAGAAAGGCTCCGTTTCCTTGACTTTGAGATTTTAACAGGGCAGGCAGGCTGTGTGGGAGGCAGTGAGCCAGCAATTTAAAACAAATGTTTCGGGGTCCCAGAGTGATCCAGTCAGTCTGGTGGAGGCTGGAGAAGGTTTCATTCAGAAAAGGAGACCTTGAGATCAATGGTCTTAATGCTGCAGGTCCCTGAACTGGAGTGGAGGGGAATTTCCACTAGTCGAGCTGAAAATTGGCATTTCTTCCCATTACAATTGTACACAACAAACCACAGTGGTATTAGCAGAACCTGTGACTTTGTTATTCAAGTAAATACCAGTTTGTATAGATTTTTTAAAATCCTGTTCACAGTAATTTTTTTAAAATTATGGTACTTCATTTATTCTTGGTATTTAATATGTTAATAAAGAAGCATGTAGTTGGTGATTTGACAGTTTTGAAGATGGTTTTTCAGTGTAATTAGCTTTTAAAATAATCCTGTCTTTTTTTTTTAATTGATTTTTTACAGAGAGAGGGGAAGGTGTGGGGAGAGACACAGAGGGACGAGGGAGGGAGGGACGAAAGCATCGATTTGTTGTTCCTCTTCTTGTGCGTTCATTAGTTGATTCTTGTGTGTTCCCTGATGGGAAATCAAACCCACAACCTTGGTGCTTCGGGACAATGCTCCAACCATCTGAGCTACATGGCCATGGCTCTTGTATGTTTTACTTTACACATTTGAAACATTGTAAGTGGGAGTCCATAAGCATCACCAGTCTGCCAAAAGAATCCTGGATCAAAAAGGTTATAAATTTGGACTTAGATAACGTTTGCTAACCTGTATTGTGATTTTTAGAAGCCTTTAGAGCAGGGATATGATTTATGTTCTATATTTACAGCCCCCACTGTATTGCATTATTAAAGCTTTCACACCGCGGTTTCCTTCACAGGGTGCATGTCCAGCATGTGTACAGGGCTCCACACCCTTCCATGAGGCGCTGTCTCCCCACGACACTCTGACCGGCCCTCCCCACAGGCAGTTCTTAGACAGTCTTTCGCCATCTGCGCCATTCTGGCTCTCCGCACTGCGATCCCTCCAGAACAGAGACCAGGTGCAGCTGCTCAGTAAGTGCCCCCAGAATAAACAGTATCCAGAGGGTGTGCACCCTGCTGGAGATGGAGAACTCTGGGGCTCGGGAGAAAGAACTCGGACAAAGTCAAGTTCCCTCTTGAGCCCCCAGGACCCTGGAGCATGGGAACCACCCAGGCTGTAGGGAGTGGAGGTGGAGGCAGGCGCTTGTGACCTCGAGCATTTATCCGACACTCCTTATCAGAGCTTGGAGTGTCTTAAGGATGAAGAAGGCCTAGATTTTCTGCTTTTCCAGCTTAGGAAGATCAGAGAATAAAAAAAATTGCTGCTGCTCTTGGAAAACTTGGGAGAGGAGACCATGAAGACTTTGACTTTAAGACGTGAGGAAAGAGGTGAGAGTTGTGAAGAGTGTGGGACGCGGGTGGGGATGTAAGTGGGCGAGGAGAGAGAGGAAGTTAGGCGGACGAGGACTTGCCAGGAACCAGTGTGTACGGGGCAGGCGTTCCTGAGGCCCAGGCAGATCCTGAGAGCATGGGCAGGCACCTCCCCCGCCCCCATCTCACGGCTTCTTTCTCCTCCAGCTCTGTGTTCTCAGGCCTCAGCCCTGGCCCAGCACGGGGAGGAGAAGACCAGGTTTCAGGTGGGTTGAGTTTTCCTTTCTCGCTGGAAATATGACTGTAGTAGGTGTCAGAGTAAACATCTCCCTCCCCCGATGAAAGGGAAAAGAGGAAGATGATGTGTTAGGTGAATATATGCCACTCCTCATTGCGTTTGTTCACAAAACAGCTGGTTTCAAAAGGCCTCGTTCATTCTAACCTTAATCAGGAAGATGCCTAAGTGCTTTTTTAATATTTACATTAAAATTGTAAAATCTCCAGTGTGACTGTAATTTATTTTTGTCTTTGTTTTCTTCAAGATGGATACCAGTTATGACAATGGCATTTATTAATCATTCACAAGTCAGTAGAAATATCATCTTTGTCATTATGTATGTGTATGTAGTGGCATAAGTATGTATGTATGCAAAGTAGTTATGTATGTTATATATATGAAAAGGGAGAGAGAAAGACAGATACCCACTGATTCATCTTTCACATTATCTGACCGATCCAGCATCTGTACTCGGTCCTTGGAGTTGCTTGGACATCTCTGCGTTGTTTTACCATCAGAGGACAAAACAGACAACATCCCTGTCCTCGTGGGGCTGACATTCTACAAGGGGGAGGCAGGTAGTAAGGTTAAAAGCAAGATAATTGCTCTCAAGTACTTTAAGGGACACAGTCGGGAGGACTCAAAGCACCTGCAGTCATCGAAGGGAAAGGTGATGGGTCGGGCTAGAGAGGGGGGAGAGGTGGATAGATTTGAATTATACTTGGAAAAATACTTGGCAGGCTCTTTTATGAATGAGATTTGAGAAAAGAGGACGAGGGAAAAATCAAAGATGATTCTAAGGTAGATGTACTGTTTGCTCACACGGGGGAGATTAGGAGAGGACAGCTGCGGGGAAGACTCAGTTTTCGCTGGGCTTTTTCTGGCCAGCAGTACCTTTCAGACGTCCGGGTGGTAGGTGGATGCGGCAGGACTCGGTGCAGATGCCAGAGCTGGGATCAAAGATTTGAGAGTAAACGACCAGTGGACGGCTCTGGCCCAGGCTCTTTCCCCGTCGCGCTGCCTCTGGCCCGGGGGTGGACCTGGAACTCTGCCGGGAAATGTGCTCTGTTGGTGGCATTCATTCTCCAGAGTGGTGACATGGGTTCCTCTGGCCTGTGGTCCTTCCGATCTCGTCTGGCTGGCAGCGTAGCCCAGGGGTTACAGCATGTTGGTCAGGCTGCCCATGTTCAGGTCTTACGCTGCTTTTATTAGATGTGTGTTCGTCAACCAACGATGTTCACTTTTCTGAGTCCACATTTTCTCACCTGTGAAACAGGGATGGCAGTAGTGACTTACCGTGTGGGTACAGAGATAGTAAGTAACGAAGCATTTCCAACACGAGAGAGGGAGGGAAAGACAGTCTGAGTGAAGACTGGAATGAAATGGGAATGTTGTGCATCACTGTACTGTAGAACATGTAACTGCCATTTTTTCCTCACTGGACTGGAGCAATTCCCATAAAAGCTTGGGCCATGATTTATTGCTGGGGCTGACACAGCGTGACTTGACACTGTCGTCTGAGCCGCTGCTTTAGTGGTCCCCTCTGATCGGGGAGATGCTTGCGTAAACACATTGGTGGTTACTGTCAAGTGCTGACTTGGAAACCTGTCTGTGATCCCGGCTGGGTAGCCAAGTTGGTTGAAGGGTCGTCCCGTACATCATAAGGTTACGGGTTAGATTCCCAGGGCACCTACCTAGGTTGCGGGTTTGATCCCGGGTGAGAGTACATATGGGAGACAACCAGTCGATGCTTCTCACATTGGTGTGTCCCCCCCACCCACTCCTTCCCTCCTTCCTTATCTCCCTCCTCTTTCTCAAATCAATAAACCCTTCCTTAGGTGAGGATTAAAAAAAAAGTGTCTGTGGATAAGGTGGGGGACCACTGCAGTAAAGAGTAGGATTTGCCTGAATTTGGGGGTGTGTGCGGACATGGGTATAGGGAACCGTTCTTCATGGTGTGGGGAATGTGGCCCAGGCCCCACTCAGAAAGACCAGTGAGGGGCGAGGTTTGGCACACAGGACCCACACCCACGGATAGGCTTTCTCCGTGGGGAATCAGGCCTGTATTGTGCCTGCTATGTGCTACTAGGCTGCTATGAGACTTGCTTTTGCTAAAACTCCCTCACCCTGAGTTAAGACTGCAGATGTTTAATGTGTATCTCTGAAGCCACTTCCTAAGTCTGTGCTAAGATGTCCCAAGGACGAAAAGTAACCAAATCAATCATTTTTATCACTCCCTTGCATTTGCAACATTTTTTTCCTTTTTTTGTTATGTGTAAGAAATAATCACTTAAAGTAAACCTAAGGATAATGAATGAGAACCTTCTTTGATGTAATGTGACTAGAAAGCAAGAAAAGCCTGTCCAGGCAACGGTTGAGGCACTCTCCCCTTGAGAGAGTGGCCGTGCTGTCCCTCTTTCTCCACAGGACTTCTGCGGTCTTTGTGAATTTATTTACAGAATCCACAACACAGACTCCACAGGCCAGAGTCTGCATCCCATGGGCATGCTAAAGCTAGGTGCTGTTGGAACTGTAAGTTGTCACAGTCTCTCTGAGGAGAATGTTGGTAATCTACAAGGTAGAGCCAAATTGTAAAATGTGCGGGCCCTGTGGTTCAGCCACTCCAGTTCTAGGAAACTGCCCTCGGAAGCACTCACACTGAGCAGAGGATGTTCTGTTTACTCTTGGGATGACCATGGAAGATCATTTGTTAGAATCAAAATCACTGGCACCAAACAGTACTCACATTTGATTTCACGGGCAAACTGAGTGCTTTCCTGCTTTCTTGTGTACTTGTCTTAGTGATGCCAAGTAAGTCACAGCAAACTTAGGGTACTTTTCATCAAGTGAGCGTTTTCTTATGGTGCTTCACATTGTAGGAGGCCGTGACCTTCAGGGACGTGGCTGTGGTCTTCACTGAGGAGGAGCTGGGGCTGCTGGACCCGTCCCAGAGGAAGCTGTACCAAGATGTGATGCTGGAGAACTTCCGGAACCTGGTCTCACTGGGTGAGGGGAACCTCTGGGTAATTGTAACTTAGCTTATTGGAGTATTCTTGTTCCCCAGAGAGAGGATATTTTTGCTCTTTGTACATAAATTAAACATTTTTTTATGGAGTTTTTATAAAGGAATTTCATTTGACCAGTCCCTAATCTTTTCCCGTCTGTCTTGCAAAGGCCGGGAGGTCAGGGGATTAGAGCAACATTTTCAGGTAATTTTTTGCACTTCAGAAATGAGCCTAAGCCTTGCATTTTCTTGCATTTTCAGGGCAGCCTTTTAAACTTACTAAGATACCCCATTTGGAATAAGACAGAGAGACTTGGGTGGTAGAGAAAGGAACTGTAAGAGAATCGCATCCAGGTGAGATCCATGGAGCCTGCAGGTGTGACTAGGCAGTGAGGTGGTGAGCCCGTACACCGGCCCACTTTGCACCTTGGCCTTGCCCAGGGACACTGCTAGTACTGTTCAAGGTGCTTGTTCTGCAGCCTCATTTCTGCTACCCAGTCCCTACCTTCTCATGGTTCCTTCATGCTCTTCAGAGAATGACATAGCCACAGCAAGTGGAGGATCTCTGGACTTTCCTCCCCTGGAGAGAAACAGCCAGGCAGTGGCAGAGAGACTGTTCCAGAATATCGAGAGTCCTCTGATGGCTTTCTCACTTAACTCTAGAATCCTACATGCCCCCGGATATAAACAGATTTGTGTTGCCTCAGCCCTCAAAGATAAAAATAGCTGATGACGAATATCAGAAAACCTGGACCAGTTTTTTAAACCATCTGTAACTATGTCATAAACGTGAACTTGATGTCTCACACTCAGTAATGGGGATAAGTTGACATTTTTGTGTCGCTCTGCGTTATCGGTGTCATCGGCATTCATGTTTTGTGTACTCACAGTATACACAGCTGATGCACTTTGGAGAACTTGGTGCTTTGTTCCCTTCCCAAGTTCAACTTACACATTCCCAGAGTCACATGGGAGGCAGTTTGGTGAGAGTGCTAAGTGTGGCTGTAAAACCAGCCTTCTGTGTTTGAACCCTGGCTCAGCACTTCCTCTCAGTGTGGCAGGGTCACTTAAGTAGTGTACTTACCTCTCTGTGCCTTGGTTTCCTTGTGTGTAAAATGAAGATAACAATGGTTCCTACCTCAATGTTACTCTGATGGTTAAAGAAGGTAATGTACATACATCATTGGCATGTAGGAGGTGTTATAGTGGTGTTAGATATTATTATAATTGTTAGCAACAATGGCATTATTAAATGGAGAAGAGAATTTTCTCTGTAAAAATCCAATCAGAATTTTTTTTTCTTGGCAACAATATGATTAAGTTTGTTACTAATAGAATCATGTTAAGATTTAGCTTCAGCCCTGGCTAGTGTGGTTCAGTGGATTGAGTGCTGGCCTGGGAACAACAAGGCTGCCAGTTTAATTCCTAATCAGAGCACAAGTCTGGGTTGTAGGCCAGGTCCCCGGTTAGAGGTGTGCAAGAGGCACCCAAGTGATATTTCTCTCACACATCAATGTTTTTTCCCTCTCTGCCTCCCTCCCTTCCCCTCTCTCTAAAAATAAATAAAATTAAAAGAAGAAAAAAGATTTACCTTCAAAGCTTGTTTATAGGAGCCTCTTCCTTTTTTTAGACATAAAAATAAGTACCTTGACCTGTCAGTACTGGACCCAATCTTTCTGGACCAGTCTTGTACTCGTTCTCATACCCAAATTGTCTTTAACCCCATAGGAGACAAGAATGGAAAGGAAATGGAGTATATTCAAGAAAAAGAATTAAAGTTCCTTTCATGCAGAGAGCTCTCCTACTGGAAAATCTGGGAACAGGCGGCTGGTGAATTGACCGGGAGTCAAGACCATCGAGTAAATCTTCAAGGGAAAGATGTCCAGTGCTCAGACGGCACTTCCCTACGTCAGGAGTGGGAAGGGGCATCTACTGAGGGCTCACGAGTTGAAAGTTCGGTGAACAGCCCTCAAGGAGATTGGCCCATCAATTTGGGAAATCAAGAGCTTCCCACTTGGAAAGCTGTGAGACTGGTCTCCATTCAAAAATCTCGGACGAAAGCCTTTGTGAACAAGCCATGGAATGTTCTAGAAAGGAGTAAAAATCTGAAAATGGAGGATATAATATGTAAATGTGAGTGGGATGGCTATGGCTTCAGCTGTAAGTCAGGTTGTCACAGTGACCACAGATTAGCTGAAAGAGAGAAATCATGTAATTGCAATAAATGTAGAAAAGACTGGAATAAACAGTCAGTACTTCACCCCAGCCCCGGAGAGAATGGCTTGGTAAGTGATGAATGTGGAAATGGCTGCGGGGACGATTCAAACCATCCTGTTTTTCCAAGAGTCCCTTTGGAAGAGAAACCCTGCACGTTTCATGAATTTGGTCAGGATGTGAGGCGGACTGCCTGTCTTGAGAGACATGAAAGAATTCCCTTGGGAGGGAAATCCTGTAAAAGTAACAAGTACAGTCTGGGCTTCAAGCAGGACACAGGACTTCACAACTGCCCCGGGGTCCCGGCAGGAGAGACACCCTACAGATGTGACATGTGTGGGAAGGGGTTCGGGTACAAGTTGGTTCTTCTGATCCATCAGTGGGTGCACACGGGGAAGAAGCCCTACAGATGCAAGGAGTGTGGGAAAGCCTTCGGTCAGAGCTCCAAGCTGCTTGTCCACCAGAGAGTCCATAATGGAGAGAAACTGTTTGAAGGCCGTACGTGTAGAAAGGGCTTCAGCTACAACTCGGTGCTTCAGGTCCACCAGAGGCTACACACTGGGGAGACGCCCTCCACTCGTAGCGAGTGTGGCAAAGTGTTCTGCACCAAGTCTGTACTGCACACACAACAGCGTGTCCATCCGGGAGAAAAATCCCACAGCTGCAGCGCCTGCGGGAAGGGGTTCAGCTGCAGCACCCACCTCAGCAGTCATCAGAAGATGCACATGGGAGCGAAACCCCTCCAGCGTGACACGGGTGATGCAGGTTTCAGTCACAGCTCGTGCCTTCGGGCTCTCCAGACAGTTCACACAGGCAAGCGCCTGCATGCATGTGACGTATGTGGGAAGAATTTCAGTTACAGGTCAGGGCTCCTCAGGCATCAGAGGCTGCACACGGGAGAGAAGCCCTACAAATGCGAGTGTGGGAAGAGCTTCGGTCGCAGCTCCGATCTCCACGTGCACAAGAGAGTCCACACAGGAGAGAAACCCTATACGTGTGTGGAGTGTGGGAAGGGCTTCCGACGGAATTCAGACCTTCATAGTCACCAGAAGGTCCACACGGGAGAGAGGCCCTACCTATGTGACATGTGTGGGAAGAGCTTTATTTACAGCTTTGACCTGGTCATCCACCAGAGGGTCCACACAGGAGAGAAACCCTATAAATGCACTGAGTGTGGCAAAGGCTTCAATCACAGCTCAGGGTTTCTCATCCACCAGAGGGTACACACAGGTGAGAAACCTTATCGGTGTGAGGAGTGTGGAAAGGGCTTTAGAAGCACCTCAAGCCTTCACAAACATCAGCAGGTCCACACGGGAAAGAAGCCCTATACGTGTGATCAGTGCGGCAAGGGATTCAGTTACAGGTCAAATCTGCGCACCCATCAGAGATTGCACACCGGAGAGAAGCCCTACATGTGCTGCGAATGTGGAAAGGGCTTCAAATACGGCTCAGGTCTCCTCAGTCACAAGAGAGTGCACACTGGGGAGAAACCGTATCGCTGTGACGTGTGTGGGAAGGGCTACAGTAAGAGCTCATATCTTCAAGGGCATCAGAGGGTCCACACTGGGGAGAAACCCTATAAATGTGAGGAGTGTGGGAAGGGCTTTGGCCGAAGCTCCTGTCTTCATGTCCACCAGAGGGTGCACACTGGGGAGAAGCCCTATAAGTGTGAGGAGTGTGGGAAAGGCTTCAGCTACATCTCAGGTCTACGAAATCATCAGAGAGTGCACTTCAGTGAGAAGCCTTCTAAGGAGGGGTGAATTGAGGTCTCTAGTTAGGACTCAGAACTTCATCTGACAGTGAACATTGAGAAAAACTTGAATGTGTTGTGTGGGAAGGGCTGCAGTGGAGCTGGCATTTTCACAGGCGGCAGCTAGTCTGTATGGAAGGATCCAGAAGTTTGATAAATAGGGAAAGCAGTCCAGTCACAAATAGTCTTCTGGAGTGTTGCACAGCAGAATAGTCCATAAAGACATGACATGGCAGTAGCTGCAGTAGAAATGGTGACTTTCAGAGTTGGTTTAGTGGGAGGTTTTGCAAATGATGGGTAATGAGAAGGTATCAAAGGAAGAGATATGGCCCTGGCTGGTGTGGCCCAATTGGTTCGTGCTTTGTCCTATACACTGAAAGGTCGCAGGTTTGATTCCTCATTAGGACACGTGCATACCCAAGGTTGCAGGTTCAGTCCCCAGCTGGATTAAGTATGGGAGGCAGCCAATCGATGTTTCTCTCTCTCTGAAAGCAATGAAAAAAATGGTCTTGAGCCGTGCCTGGTGTGGCTCAGTAGATTGAGCATCGGCCTGCAAAACAAAGGGTCACCGGTTCAATTCCCAGTTGGGGCACTTGCCTGGGTTGCAGGCCAGGTCCCCAGTTGGGGGTGTGTAAGAGGCAAATGATTTGATGTTTCTACCCTCTCTTTCTCCTTCCCCCCTCTCTAAAGGTTTTTAAAAATCTCAGGTGAAGATAAAAATAAAAATTTAAAAAGAAGGAACATTATGAACGTGTATTCCGTGTGGAGGAGAAATTACTACAAATGCAACAAATCTAGAAAAAATAGTCACTTTACTAAAATCAACATTGTGTATGTACTTTTAGTTTTTATAATATTCAAAGATAGCATTAGTTGAGGCAAGTCAGTTTGAAAATGCAAGGGACAGGTACAAGGAACATCCTCTGGCCACGTCTGGGCAATGGGTCTCAGGCACACTTTCGTGTTTTTGTGACTGTTTTATTCCTTAGAGAGTGTGCTCGTAACGAGGTTGTGCTGCACTGCAAGAATATTTTATCTTCTCTAGTTTTAATGCAAAACCCAGTTGGGCTTTTAATTGACACTGCATTGAATTTATAAATTGATTTGGAAAGAACTTGCATCTTGGAAACACTGATTTTTTTTTTCCATTTTCAAAATGTTATTTGTTTCCGCTTACTAAGGTATTTGGAATGACCCCCTCAATAATATTTTTTAGAGATTTTTAAGAATAAGCTCTAAATATTCCTTAGTATATCTCCAGGATTTTTTTTCATGGTGGTTTTTTTTTTTCATATAAGACAAATATTAGAACACTTTTAAAAATCAGAAGTGCCATTTTTACTTGTCAGCAGAGCATGGTAAAACATTCACCAAGGCCACCACCAGTGGTGATCCGTGAAGACGCACATCTTACACACTTACTGGTGAGAGTAAAAGTAAGTAGTCCTTTTTAAAGGAATTTGTCAGTATTTTGAATTCAATCCGTATAACCTTTGAAGCAGCAGTGTAAGAATTTATACTTGGGAAATAGTCGCACATGTGGGAAAAGTTGTAGGCATGTGACTGAGCTTTGTAGCATTTTCTTACGACGGCGAAAAAAGAAAAAGTTAATGCTCCAAGAGTAATAAGTTAAGGCACGTGTATACAAGTGAAAACCACTAAAAATATTCAGGTACGCCTATAATGGTGAAGATTGCCCTGAACTGTTTAGTTGTTTAGTGATCCAGGAAGGCTGTAGAGTGAAGGTTACAGTTTGACCCCATTTGTTAGTATGTTTTTATACATTCATAGAAAAAAAATGTGTGAGAGCCAGTAAACAATATATGTCGATCTCATGAAGACAGGCTGTTTCTAAAAAATGAGTCTGGTGGAACCCTTATGGTCAAAGATCTGTGATATAACCTCTGTAATTTTTTTGGCCTGTTCTGCTGCTCACTTAGCATGCAGCACATACAAAGCACACGGTTGAACTGTGAAACTGGTGAGTCAGACCCTTGCAGAGGCTGCATGTGTCCTTTTTGCTGGCTGGTAGGAGGGGAGGCAGTCTGGGTGACTGAGAGGGCGCTGGTGTTTCCGTTCTGCATTTTGGCGTCATAGAGAGCAGTGCTGTGCTCCTTCCAGTCTGATCACTTCGCCTAGGGACTCGAGTCGTGGAGAGGGCCTGGGCTACACTCGCTCTGCCACCTGCAGCTCCTTGACAAAGAGTCGGAGGTAGAGACATGTTGGAGGTGAGGAAAAGGCCCCTTATAGCTAAATCAATAGTTGCAGAACTCACCTAGAGGACAGAAGCACAGTGTTGATAGCAGGAAATGGTCGGCTTCCCAACAGGGGCAGACTGAAGGACTTTGTGGAACAGCAGCAGGAGCAGGCCTTTTGGTGAGGAGGTCGATTTTATAGCCAAGACAACTAATACACCATCCCCGACCATCACATCTTCAAGGTTTGTGGTTGAAAAGCTAAGCTCAGGATTTCCAAAGGCGGGCAGCCTATTAAAATTGTCTTTGTGGGCGGATCTCCCCCTTGTTCTGGAGCTGGCTGTCCGATGTTGGCACAGTCATCCAAGTGCTTGACCAGGACTTAGAGGGTCTGCATCCAGGTTGGCTCTGGGCAGCATCTAGCTTTGAGCAGGAGGCCTCAGTTACTTAGTGGCTGTTGACAAAGATCCAGTTCCTCACCCATGAGCTTCTCTGGGGGCCTTCTTGACATGGCAGCCGACTTCCCCCAGAGCTAGTCATCAGAGAGGAGAGCAAGCAGATAGCCACAGTGCCTTTTATAACCCAGCCTCTGAAGTAGCCGTCACTTGTGGGCAGGGGAGGTAGCTCCATCTCTTGCAAGGAGGACGATCAAAGGACTTGGGGATATATCTTCCAAGCAGCACACCTCCCCACCGCGTGGGAGAGGAGTAAAGATAAGAGTGGTGGTTCCAACAGTTGATCTTCGTGCATTCGTGCTAATTATCCTGTCTGCCCTGCTCCTTTTCAGTCTGCTCGAGGCTGTCCTTGCGGTCCCACTGGATTGCCTGAAGCTTAGCCGGGTGCCAGTCAGCTGCCAGGATCTCAGTGGCAGCAAGGAATACAAGACAGTCAAGGGAAGGGCTCTACAACCACTGTGGAATGGGTCGTGTTGGGTGTAGAAGTGTGGGTTTTTGTTGTTTGTTTTGTATTTTTTCTTTTCCATAAACTTGCAGTAATGTGAGATCAGGTGGGATGTTACCCTGTTGTCACTCTAAGAGTGTTGCATGGCAGAAAAGCTCATCCAACTTTAAGGGGGTTTGGAGAATTGTAAACATACCGCCTGTGGGGCAGAGGCAGAAATCAAATGATCGGTGGTACATGAGAAGAGATGTTGAGCAAGTTGGCTCTGACCCAAATGGGCTGGTGAGGGAGATGAGTCTGGTATAGAATATAAAGTTCATGGGGATAGTAAGGTTGTGTCCAACCAACAGGTCAACAATGTGGCCATTTTATAGGGCAGAGTCTGAGACTTAAGATACCTGAGATGCAGGGTGGAGGTTCAATAAATGGAAGGTTCTCCTTAGGAAGATACCCACTGACCAAAAAGAGTCTTAAATGTGCGGCTGAACTAAGCGAGGGGGAGACCAGGCGGGGGCCGGGTTAGCCAGCGGTGCTGCCGTTGTGTCTGATGCCTGGGCAGACCCCGTTCTCCAGAAGGTCACTAGGCCTGCAGTGGTGAACAAGCTGACGGCACTACCTCATGAACCCCCGAATCACTACGTGTCTTTGACCGTGGCTAGGAGAGGAAGGGGTGGAGAAGCGAGACTTCCTCTCGGCACTCCCAGCTTCAGCTCCTGAGCTGTATTTCATACAGATCAAAAGACTCTCAAGGGCACAGGATACAGTTCAAAACTTCTTGATTGTTAATGTAAAAAGAATCAGGATGCACAGTTTAGCAGGGTTGTCTCATTTGTGCAGAGGAGTAAGTGTATGTCCAGAGACATCTCTCTCTCTACACAGAAACAGAGAAAGTAGACTGGGGGACTTGAGATGGGAAAGGAGACTTGCTTTTCATTGTATACACACATTTGTAACTTCGAATTTTTAACTGTGCAGCTGAAGAAAAGCATCTAGCAAATAAAAAGACTCCTGTCTAAAGAAATCACTTCAGTGGTCACAAGTCTATAACCCTTAGCGTTGGCATAAAGGTGCAACAAAAGGCAGCTGAGGTCTGTGGGGATGTTGGCGTTGCGGGCTGTCGGGTGAGGGACGCACCTCAGGACTCCATCCAGCTGGTGTGTGCCAGCTCCATCTCCTGCCCAAAGCCAGGACGAGACAGCAGTCAGATGGCTTCGCAAGGAACTCGGACCTAACAAGATGTCTGGAAAACCATCTTTAGCATGTTATCCCAGATGCTGTCAAACATGCAGGACTCTGGGACTGGTTTCTAGAAACCGAAGTCCAGAATTAATAGACTCTGCATTGAATCTGGAGTGTCTGAATCGGGGAAAGCACACAGGGCCCCAGATGCTAATGTGACGGCATTTCCAACAGAGGAAAACAAAATTTTCACAAAAGTGCTAGCTAATTGGGCTGCATCTGAGGGACACTACGGGCTACATAATAACTGGCAATATGAATGGAGTTGCTATAGGGCAGTGCTGTCCAATGGAAATACAATGCAGAACAATATGGGAGTTGAGTAAGCTGACCTGTATGAAATAAGCACCGATAATATCCTTGTACCAATGAGAATGAGGAAGCAAAATGGGAAGAGATACCATTTGTACCAGCAGCAAACAAACCCTAAACATTTGTCCTGGCCCATGTGGCTCAGTTGGAATGTCATCCTGTAAACGGAAAGGTCATGGGTTTGATTCCCAGGCATGGTATGTGCCTTGTTGTAGGCTGGATCCCCCTGCCCCCCAGTTGGGGTGTGTAGGAGAGGCAACCAGTCAGTGTTTTTCTCCCTCTCTCCCCCTTGCTCTAAAATAAATGAACATGTCCTCAGGTGAGAATAAGAAAAAAATCCTGAACATTCAACAATTTTTGTCTTTTTTTCACTGCTATATCATATCATATGTTTAATGCTTAGAATGGTACATAGCATGTAGTAGGTGCTCAGAAAGTAAATACAGTATAACAGTTAACACAATAGACAAAATTCCTGCCTTCATTGAGCTTAAATCCCACTATTGTTCCTGAACAGTTCAGCTGCCTGTTGCCACAAAAAGGCAAACTCATGAGGCAGGTGATGGTGAAAAAGGAAAGGTTTATTCAGGTGCACAAACCTAAGAGAAGGGTAGACTGCAATCTCAAAGACCATCTCCTCTCCTGCTGAAGCCTGTAGAGGGGTAGGGAGGACAGGGCTTGCTTTTCCCTAATCCAGTTATCTTCCTAGCTTTTGACCACCTGGGGCCCTATCCATATTTCTAGCTTCTAGCTCCCAGTGAGGACCTCCCCCTGCTGGCCGTCTTGGCCAATGGGCAGAGACACCTGCCGCACCAACTGACTTACGGTAGCAGTACGAGGA